GGATATGATGTGATATCTCCGTACCTGTATACATTGTGGAAACCTCAAATGAGAGTAAACATGTCCTTAAAACATTTACTATTGGTAAAAGCATTCAAAATCCTTTCTTCTACTGTTTTTGAAATTCAGTAAATAGTACATTATTTTGTTTATGGTGACCCTACTGACCAACAACACTCTAGAACTTATTTTGTCTGTATAACTACTTCTTAATATGCAGTAACCAATGTTTCAATGTAGGTAAGTATAAATTTGGATAAGTACACACATACAAATATATTATCTATCTATCTATCTAACAATTTTGAACTTTGAACTTTGGTTGTTATCTGGACAAATAAAAAGTTAGGTAGTAGGTTAAAATAAATATTGAGACTAAGATTAAGTTTAAATTGTTAAAAAGGTTTTCTGTAATTGTTTCTCGAACCTTATATGGATGAAGTATAGGAGTTTAAGGTTAAATGTATTGTATTAGGGAAAAAATACAGTACCTCATTCCTAAAGAGTATTTCATAATATTAACTTACAAATTAGCTTTTTATTGTTAAAATTTTTCTGGGGGAATAAAAATAAACAAAGATAAGGATCTGGAGACACTTTGTAAATTCTTTTTTTTTTTTTTTTTTTTTTCTCAGAAGGCCTAACAGCTGCTTTGGAATTTATTCCGTCCGTTAGAAATTCAGTGTTCCAATTGGCCAGGCTCTGTGCTGGGTACTTCATCTACCCTGTCTCTCGTACAATACACTTTAAGTGGCAGCCACCAGTTTAGAATTCCTGTTTATCTGTATAAATTATTAAAACAAACACTTTGAAGTTTATATTTTAAACTCACTTTTCAAAAGGGCAAAATTTTGAAGTGAATATATCTTACTTTTCCAGTCTTTGTTAAGGAATAGTCACGAATGAGTATGTGTGTTTTCAAATTCACAAACTAGTAGTTTTGTGAATACATAGCTGTCCTGTGAATAGACCAAAGTGATCTCTAATGTTTTCTTTGTAGCTTACTGTTTGCAATTTCCTTTGTCAACACACTATGTACTGATAGAAACAAATATTAAAGAAGGAGGGAGAATTTTGTGAACTTTAATGACCTTATGTTACCTTATTTCTTTCTGTATTCAACACCTCTCTCAATGCTAAGTATTATATACTCAATGAACATATTTTAATTTGTTGATCTTAATGTTTTTTAATTTGTCAATAAATTTGGCATGGAAAGACTGTAACTCCTCTGAAATGAGATTAATTGATTAAGTGCTAGTTTATTGAAACTATATGTTATTATTTAGAATATAAAGTACAGAGTTTCAAATGCAAAACATATATTTCACCTTTTACATTCTTGACTCCTTGGAGACTTTCAAAAGCCTTCCTCAAATTAAGAATATTAGCCAGTGATATAGCTCAAGGGCATAAACACTTGCCCGGCAAGCCTGAGGTCATGAGTTCGATTCCAAGTACAAAAAAAAAAAAAAAGAATATTCACATTTTTAAAAGGGTGACATTCCAATTAATAAGACAACCCTAGTGATAAATGTTAACAACAAAAGAACTGTTTCACTGGTCTGGTAGGAATATCTACAAACTCATTTTATATTTTCATGCTTATTATTTAGACTATTTTATAGTGAAAAAATAATAAACATTTCTTCATAGCCTAAAGGCAAAATTTCTACTTAGAAAGTGAAGGGATGAAATTTTGTCTGGTATTTATTTTAATCTGCTTTCAGATGAAACATATTTGTCCATTTTGATTTTGCACTATTTGCAAATAGTTTTATTTTTGCTGAGCATATACTGCTTGACAAGAGTAAAGTATTTCAGGATTAATCTAGATTTTTAAAGCAGAAATATTAGTTAGAGATAATTTTTAAGAGGTAGTTTTCTTTCCCCTTCCTTCCTTCCTTTCTTCCTTCCTTCCTTCCTTCCTTCCTTCCTTCCTTCCTTCCTCCATCCCCCCCCCCACTCTTTATTTCTTTCAATGGGGTTTCACTATGCAGTTCAGGTTAGCCCTGGACTGACTTTGTAACCCAGGCTGACCTCAAACTCAGGACAATCCTCCTGCCTCAGCTTACCCAGTGCTGAGATTATAAGCACGTGCCTCTACATCTGGAAAGAGACTGTTTTAATATGTACCTCAGTTTTAGTTGTATGTATTTGGAGGCCAGCAACAATTTTAGAGTAAAGTCATTCGATATTTCACTTAGACTCATAAATGTTAGCATTCATAACATCCTGGCGCCACAGGGTGAAAGTTCTTCTGGAAGTGTACTCTGAGTATATTGAGAGTGTCTTTGGGAACACTACCTATGAGGTGTGAGAGATTCAGAATCTGGAAGAGAAAGGAGTAGTACAGTGATCTAGTCATATTAGCACTGAAATAAAACTTGAGAGTGTTCTGCCTCAAGGCAAGGAGGCCAACTATTTAACTCCTACAGTAACCAGTTGTTTCCTGGGAATGCCAAACCCTTTCCTCTGAGTGTCTTCCCTTTGGCCCACACCAGTTGATGAAAAGAATTTTAGGTGAGGGCCATCAGCTACCACCATTCCAAGCAGCTGGCCCAATTAGTGCCTTAGTTCCAAAATGGGATCTGAGAAGCACACCACAGTATCCACGACACCTGGATTTGTGTAACAAGTGGGCAGAGAATATGCAGTCACATATTCTCTGCTTTCCTGCAATCTTATTATAGATCTTTTCAAACAGGGGGGAGGAGATGTGGTCAAATATTTCCCCCAACTTTCCAAAGTTATGTGACTCTTGTCTGATGTTTTTATCACCTCTGAAAAAAATTCTAGTTGCAATATTGAAGAGAGGGCTTGGGAGAGAGAAGTGTATTAAATTTATCTAGTAATCAAATCAACATATTTTTATCTATTGTATTTCACATTGTACTAGATAAAAGTAAGCTTGAGCTATTCCTTAACTTCTTTGGCTATTCTGGGCCAGAGGAGGACTTAAAATAATTGCACAATACATTCCTGCTCCATTGCATGCTTATAGTTATAAGAATGGAATGTTTCTGTAAATGCGGCATAAACAGCTAAAGATTTTATCAGCTTTATTTTTTCTCTACGTGACGTCTTTTTAGGCCTTACCTGATTTGGTGGATCTTAGGATCAAATGATGTATTAGATGTATATTAATCTATTTATGCATAACATACATGAAAACAATTTAAATTTTTTATTAAAGCTCCCTATTATCTATGGACATGTTAAACCACATCACTGATTCCATGCAAAATGTATTTTACTTCTCAGTTTTCTAAAGAGCCACCAACCAAATGTTTATTTTGATTCTTTAAGTTTTTATGGTAGAGAAACTTTTAGCAATACAAACCTCACTGCAGGCCTATCACTGAGGTTTTATGGATGCCCCATCTAGAATAGGTTATACACCCTACTCACCACTACGGGATGAACAATAAAAGAAGTTTATGGTGTGCTCTGGACAACGTAGGCTTGCTATATTTTGCTTTTATCTCTGTTTGTTTTAACATCTGTCCTCTACTTCCTGCTTTGTGCTTTTTAAAACTCGGCTTGCTGATTTGAACTTCACTTGTTGGCCTTGTTCTTGTTGAGGAATATTGATGGAGGGAAGTTAAAACAGTGAGAATAATACTGCTTTTTTGTTAATTTGGCTCCAGCTGATTTTTTACCTGGGAGCAGGAGAGCTGATGGTTCTTGTGAGTAGTTAATTAAACCCTGTGCTGATGGCTTCTGTTGTAGGCATTCAGTCACCCACCTTGTTAGCAGATTCTCTGCCCAGCAGGGGTAGACTTATCCCTGGGGAATCATTTCTGAATGTTTACTTTGTACTCCGGGAACTGACTGAGGGCAGGATGATGGTCCATGTGCACCTGACCAGAGAGCCGCTCCTGAGTTTTGTAAAGATAATTTGTCTGGGGCCTCACTCTACTTTGTTGTAAAAATGAGCTGGCTGGCAAGGAAGTGGCACAGACATGAACTTACCTTCTGCCTTTAACCTCCTAGAGTTCTGTTCTGTGAGAAAGGAAAAATCTCACTGCATTTTGTTTTCCTAATGTTTCTTGGATTCTCACCAGCAGGTCTTTACAGTCTGTTGCTTGCCTCTCAGATTAGAAGAGTACTGGCATATTTTAACAGTTTCTTAGGATTCACACAGCCTTTAATTAACAGCAAATTGATGTTTTGGAATGTTATCAAAATAGGGGAGACAGAACACTGAGACTGAGCTTCTATCCTTCCAACTTTTGCACATACTAGAGTCCCAAAATGGGACAGAAGTGTGTGCTTCTTTGCAAACAGTGTGCCTTTGAAGGGGGTGTCTGTTGGGGTAACATTCCTGCTGCCTGCTCATTAGTGCCCATCTAAGTTCCACCTACTTATGGCTGAGGTGGTGACAGGCAGTTACTGGATGCTAAAAGCTGCAGGGCTGCAAAACCGCTTAGGAATGCTTTGCTTGTAGCACTGGGTTTGCATAGTTTTAATCCTCTGGTTCCCAGGGCCGTCAGGTACAGCTGCCTATGTTTGTGGTTAAGATTGTGTTCTGTGCCAGAGTCATGTCGTCTTACTGCCAGAGTTTTGGATTGGTGGAAAACAACAGTTCTGCTAAATAACCACTCAGATGTGAAGCATATTCTGAGCAGATTAGTCCTCAAAGAGGGAAAAGCAAGCAAAGGAGGGGATTTCTGTTCTGACTCCAGAGATTTTGGTTCCAGATTTGCTGCTGACCCAATCCAGAACTTTAGGCGGGGGGGGGGGGAACCAAACATTGTGAAATTTGACTGTACTTACATAACTAGATAGTTACAATCTAAGGCAAAGAATCAGCTCCAGTATCTCCTGCTGCCTAATGGTAAATGCACTGATTGGCCGATTCTCAGTTAAGGAAACAGACTCCATGTAATGCTTTTTCCAGTGACCCACAAAGCTGGCCTTTTTGCCTCAACAGAGACTGTGGTGTTTTTTTCCATGCCTGGTGTCCCTAATTGCTCCCTTTGCTGTTGTCTGTCTAGGTGGTACATGCCAGAGTCCTGCTCTCCCAGCCCTGGTCCGTACACCAGCCCCTCCTTTGCAACCATCGCTGGATATTAAACCGTTTCTTCCCTTTCCTCTTGACACTGCAGCTGCAGTCAACCTCTTCCCTAATTTTAATGCGGTAAGTACCACAGCCAAATCTGCGTGACCAATAGGTGCTGGAAAACCTTATAGGCCAGGGGTGTTCCAGTTACTGTTTCCGTTTTCTTATACTGTTTATTCTGCGTTTTATCTGAAAGCTTTGGTAAAGCTAATTGTCCACCTGGTGAGGTGAAGCGCCCAGAGCCAAGTTCCTTAAAAGGAAAATGTAAAGAGATTTGATCATTCTGGCTTGATCATGAGTTGATGTTGCCCCTTGAGTGACTTCTGGGTAACACCAGCAACTCTGTAATTCTTTTTTGAAATTTGTAAAATGATAATTTAATATATTTATTAGAGAGAACATTGAAATTCAAGTACATATCTAGAAAATTAAATGTTTTCCCTTTTTATGTAGTCTAATTTAATTTTCAAATCTAATATTTCTTTTCTCATTTACTAAAGAGGACTCTGACAATGACAATAGTGATAGATTTTATGTACACAGTGCCTTTTTCCTCTTTAATTTCAAACAACTTGGCTCCAGTACGAAAATTTTTAATATTTTGTTCCTTCCCGTCCAGTCATAGTTGGGTCAAGGCTTTCTTAAAGTGTAGTATTTCTTTGGGCTTTGTCAACAGCCTTCTCAGTGCAAACTTATTATCTGGCTTGTATTTTCACTTTTAAGATATCTTTGTAAGGTAGCTCACTCATTATATGCACCATAATTCCCTTCTGTGTAAGCTCTGACTGTACTCTTAGCATGGAAATTAAAATAAGGTTGAAAGGTTAGAAAGAAGTAAGTGACCTTTCTTTCAAATATTGCATTCAGTTTACAGGGGTTATTGTAATGCAGATCTGAGCTTATCAATGATGTGTCAAACCAATCAAAGCAAAGAGGATTAAGAAGAGAGGTCATTGAATTTCCAGTAATCTAAGTAATACTGCTTCCTTGTTGCAACATTCTGTCCTCCTAATGAATAATAATAATAAAATAAATCTATCCACAAGTAAATCATTCTTTAGAAGACTGAAGCAGACCTTTTCTTTAATAGTACTTCATCGCAGGGAATTCGGACATGCCAGTAAGATAGAACATTAATGTACTTGCAACAAAGAAAAATGAAACAATCAGTTTGCTTTCTGAGAGAAGAGTAATTTTTCATAGGAACTTTATTTTGGAAGAGATAGGGTAAAATAGAGCAACATCAAGAGCATAATGCAGGTTTCTAATCCGAGGTGTTTCAATAAGCATAGAGAAAAACTTGCTCAGCATCAAATTCCCTCATTGTCAGATATGATGACACTGATGTCCCCTGGGATTCTTTCTTCTGAATTCCTTCTCTGTTACTCAGTTAAGTGGCTTTCTGGTACAGCCTTGCTCCCCGGTACCTGGGGGATAATCCATCTTGTACTCTACCTGGTGTGGAAGACCCCTGGGCATCCTGGCACTTAGGTCCCATGTCAGCTTTAAAGCACTGAGGTGAAAATTTTGGGGATTTAAAACAAGGCTGGGTTTCAAATGTTCTATTTGCCCTTTGGGAAAAATTAAAAGCAAAGTTCTTAATTTGATTGACAGTGAGGATTATTTGTCATGAGACAGAGATGAGAGATATGCTGAGCTGGGTAACTCTAAGGAAATGTCTTTACCTTTAATTAAAAGGAGTGGACCTGATAATCTCTTTCTTCAGGTCTTATACCATTTAAATGTGAGGTGTGCATGTGTGTGAGTGTGTGTGTGTATGTATGTGCATTCGCACACGTGTGCAGACAAAAGCAGCATTATAGATGATGAAGCAGGACTCTGTAGTTACACTCACTAAAAATGCCAGAACTGCCTCTTTTAGTTAGTATGATCTTGTGTAGATCATATATTTTCCATGTACCTCAGTAACTTCATCCATAAAATGGAACTAATAATAAACTTTATAGATATAATAATTAAATTACTACATAATTTCAAACAAGGGTTAGCATAAAATAAGCACTATTTGTGTAACAGGTATCATGTTCATAAGTAGCTTGTTAACCCTTCTGAATTTCACTGTGGCAGTTCATGGATCGCAAAGGTCCACCTGGCTAGATTCTTCTTCTCACCTGGATTTTGACTTTGCTACTTACTATTTCTTCCACTAAATACGTGAGGCTGTCTCTTATTACAACTATTATTTTCTCCTTGGTTATTTCCTTTAAGTGGTGGCCAATCTAAGCCAGCTGACGATTGAGCCTCTCCTTGCTTCCAAATAAGTAAGTCATTGGAAAACCAATAATCATGTGGCTTTGGACTTAGAATTAGGGAATGCTGTAGTTTAAGTATGAAGTGTCACCCAAAGAGTCATGCATTGACAGTTTGATTACCAATGCAGTGATGTTTTGAGGTGGGACTTAGAGAGGTGAGCAGATCATAAAGGTGCAACCATATAAATGGATTAACCCATTGATATGTTCATAGTTGAATGGCCTATTAGGAGGTAGGGCCCATGTGGACAAAATAGGTCACTGGAAGGGTGTCTTTCAGAGGTATATATTGTCCCCCAGTGTTCCTCTCTGGTTCTTTCCTTTCTGCTGTGCTTCCTGGCTACCATAAGACATCTGTATCACATCATCCGCTATGATGTTCTGCAGCTCAGAGCAATGTAACCAGCCAATTATGTATTGAAATGTCTGATACAGTGAGCCAAGTAACTCCTTCCTCTTTTAAATTATTTCTAGATGTTTTATCACAGTGACATAAAGCTGTAACAGAACAACATAGGGTACCTCTTTAAGCAACTCAGACCACAAGTTTAGAGTATATGAAATGTAATATGTTATTGCTATAGATGGATTTCTTGTATAAGAAAGCTCATTCCACCACTCTGGAGGGAAAGCCAACCTAATTTTGCTCCATAAAGTGCTAAAGCCCTGGATTCTAACAGGCCATCTGTCCAGCTTTAGGTGGAAAGCTTCTTGGGTCATCAGGTTATTTGTTTACATAAGCATTCACAAAATGTTCTCCACACTGTGGTTAGCACAGTCCTTTGTGCACTCAGCTATTTCTTTGCCGTGCTTCGGATACACAGGCATAAAAGGCTGTCAGTGCTCCTTCCTGCCTGGATCCATCACTAAGCTCCTACTTCACTGCAAGGTAGTGAGGAGCCACTCTGCCACCAAACCACTTTCCCGCATCTAATATTTCTGAGATAAAGTCCACGAGGATCAGAGATTGTCTGCTTGTTACATTTCTCCACTCAGGCTATGAAGGTAGAAACATCTATTTGGAGTACCGTGTGGCTAAAAGGGGCAGGCACATATTAAAAACATGTTCTTGCAAGATGGAATATATGAAAGCATAAATGAATTTCTCTGATTATTGTCCTGCAAGGGTATAAACTCTTAAGTTTGAGTCTGGGTCAGTAAAAATGAGGAAGGGTCTGTGAAAATAAGCATAGTGAGGAGGGAAAGAAAACATACAGAGTCAGGTGGTATAGGTAAGGAAGAGGATATGCATCAAAATTATTAGGGCCTTTTAGTCTCCTGGAAGCTAAATTTTAGAAGATCACAACAATGTTTATTTTCTGCCCCGGGGAAGGTGGTACACTAGGGAGTCCAGGAGCTTTCACAGAAGAGAATATTCTCTTTGAACTCTGTGTTAGTTGCTTTTCTCCTTTGCTGAAACAAAATACCCAACACCCAAAGTTAAAGTAGGAAAGGTTTATTACAGTTTATGGTTTATAGAGGTTTTAGTTCATACTTGGCTGTGTGCAAGGCAGCGTAGCCTGACAGAGGGGCATCACCGAAGACCAACAGTTCAATGCGGGCAGAAGGCAGCACAGCAGCAAAGGTGCAAGCAGCAAGGGACCACAGCACCTCTCTTTCTGTCCCTTATATTTTACCCAGGCTACCTGCCCGCAGAGTGGATAGCACTCTCACCCAGGAGGGTCTTCCCATAATCCACTCCCAGAACTATGCCATCCCAGTCAGTGGACTAAGTATGTACCCTGATCCCAGCATGACACACTCTAGATCCAGCCGCCTCTGAAAAGCCCTGCCTATGACCAAATAAAGGTTTTTGGGATACATCTAGACACAAGCCATAACAAACTCCTTCAGTACCCTTTAACCTACCCTTCAATCTCATAATTGAAGCTTGAGTTTCAATTCTTCAAAAAATTACAGTCCCAGGGATCCCATCTTGAGTCTCTACTTACTGAACAAAAGCAAACCTGGAAGCAGATAGATAATGTGTAGGAAATAAATGGTAAGAAATGATATGAGCTTTCTCCATTCAATCTGTTGCTAATTTATTAAGTACTGGCTACGTTCCAGGAATAACAATAACAAGGATTATATTATAACCCTTCCTATGATATTAATTCAGTTTGTAAAAGAGAAGTTGATGAACAAGGAAATATTTGTAAATATGAGAGCTTTGATAAAGAAAGATGGACAGAATAGACTGTCAGCTCTGTGATAACAGTGCGTGTCTGTGTGGTTGTCTTAGGGTCTGTGAGAAAAATAGAAACTATTCTTGCCATTCAAACAGGAAAGGATCTAATCTAAGGATTGAGGTTTGCATGAAACCTTTGTGGGTATTAGGTGAATGAAGTCAGGAAAGACTGTTGTTGGCTCCCGTTTTCTGCTTGCTGGAATGAAGTAAGGAGTTGCAGAAATGCAGAACATCCAAGCAAGTTCAGTCACTTTCATCCACATGCCATGAAATACCTCTCTTTGGTGTTGTGTAATAAATCTGCACCCTGCTGGCAGGGCAATGCAAACCTCAGTCTTCCAGACTCTATGATATGTGGGCAGGGTTGAGCAGTCCACAGAAGAATTTAACCAGTGGGAGAATGCAAAGAACTATGCAGAATCAGAAAAGCCTGAATGTGTCTGTAATCACAGACAGAATGCCCAGTGCAGTATACTGTGAAGTTAGAATAACTAAACATCTCTTAGCCTGTTATCAAGAGATGTAGGTATGTTTTTAAATGCTAGAGGTGTGTGCTGAGCATAGGCTTGGGAAAGACTTTGGAATGTTACTTGGAATGGGAACTAATCAGTAAA